GCTGCTTTCAACACCAAGGCTTATGACTACCTGCTCGAAATAATTCATATGAGCCTTGGCAAATAACAAGAAAATTATTCAGTTCATGAAAAATGAAAGTTAAGCAAGGCAATTTAGTCTTTAAGTTTGCGCGAACTGCTGCTAACCTACAGAGGCTAATTATTAGCATAACTTTTTCCGGCTAGCTAACTAGCTAGCTGGAAAAAAACAGGGTCTGTTAAGGAAACTTTTAATGTCCACGAAATACCTATAGCCAGAACGTTGACATCTAAATTCTGTGTTACCTAGATAAGATCAGTATAAGAAGATATACTAACTCATATACCTTGTCAACGAATACGTGATCCATATAAGTTCGTTTGTTTCAACAAATTTTATTCTTTGTCCATATTTATTTTTAGGTTCGTTCAGAGTTTCACTATGTCACAGCTAACGTTCGATGTCGATTAGCCCCCTTTTTTGAAAATATAGATGTAGTACGTTCGACGGGTATCCGAACGAATTCACGGAGCTTCTCAGCTTATAATCATAGTCGTTCACGACGAAGCAAGCATACACAAAGTAGTGACGCTCAGGTATTCGAATCTCAGCCGATACGCCTTCATGACGGAGTTGTTGACGTCCACATTTTGCCTATAACGGCTTATTATCTCTACTACTCCTATCATTATCCGCATTTCACCTACTTTCGCGCCTCTCTAATGTGTCCATCACATCATCGGCCGCGCCGCTGCGTTCCGTTACCAACAAAACACAACAAAATTTCCATGTTAACTCCGTAGATCGTAGCGGTTGTCGTAGTAGATCTACCATTTGCGACACCTTTGCGTTGCAAAACACACAACATATCTACGTATAGCAACGTTTAGTTAGTCTTGGAAAGGAATAATTTATGAAAAGCATATGGAAGTATAGGCTTCTCCTTAGCCATTTTTTCTTGAACATTATTTAGGTGGCGTAGCGTTTGTGGTCTCACGAAAGGAAGAGACTCGTCGCTTTCGACGTCATCTTCAGGCTCACAGCAACAGATAGTGAACTGACTATGAGTATGTTAGTAATATACGAAAGCAATCGACGAAACGTAAATGCCATTGAACGTAGACGCACGGCGTCGACATCCCGCGCGGATGTAGAGAAAAGTTTTTATCTTTTGTCAAGGCCTTCCATGGCCGATGATGATACGTTTTCGGTCCTAACGCCGTCGCAAATGCACACAGACATCTTACGAGTTTAGTGGCAGGCCGTATCACTAACTACGAAAAATGACACAAGGTATATTGAAATGTTATCTTCAATTCTGTTAGTCGGGCATGGAGCATATTCACTTCTCAGCTGGTTAGCAGTGGAGATATCATACTCAGCTTGCTGATAATTCGTTGACCAGGCAATATGACTCTATCTTTTCCTTGTTAAAGGCAAAGGGTATCTGCCAGATAGCGATGGAAAAACGGGAAGGACCCTTAAACTAACGATGATTTTCAAGCTTCTTTGCTCAGTGGCGTCGAGTGACCTTGACAAAATTACGCGGTCATTCAGGACCTAGAGCATTTTATTTTAGATGATGAAGGCCATTGATTTCCTTGAGTCGTAGTTCACGTAAAAGTGGGCTTCGTCTTTTTCCAATGTGCAGTAGACGAACGGGTTTTAAACTGAACAAACCAATATGTGCGGTCAGTCAGCAGGTGGGAAGTCAAGTGCCCTTTAACAGGTAGAAAATGCGCACTTCTTATTTTCTATCATTTTTATTGGCACAGTTTTAAAAAGTCGCGCTTTTTTCGCGCTGAGTCAAAATGCATTTCTTCCATCGGTTACAGTAAAGCGTTCGTTAGAGATTTGCTTCATACATACGTTTGGCACAAGTTTCTACCGACCAAATAAATGATGATGATGATAATTCGTTGTATTTCCGCCACAAAATAGATATGACATGTGAAGAAACGGTCGCCGCTTTAAATGAGCATAGTTTACTTTTTCAATGCTGAAAGAAGATATAATCAGTGTGATTATCACAATCCAATAGTAATTAGCTTATTTTACACAAATTAAGACAACAAAGAAGTCCACATTTATTGACTACGTTTAACAAGCGGGTCTCATTTGTATAGATGATGGCTTTATCGTTAGATCAGCTGAAGTATCAGTGGTCAGCGTATTGCTGATCCTATACTCCCCTCAATTAGCTTCGAAAATGAACTCGTAATAAGAAAAGAAATAAAAAGCATCAATCGATAAGGCGACAGCGACGTCTCATTTTAAGCTAATGTAAACATACTACCTGTTAAGAGGTATAGGGCGCATCGGCGAAGATCCCATTTGGGCTTATCTGTGATACGAGTGCAAACAACTAGTAACTAATTGATTTTCGGTGAGATAATCAGCATTTTAACGCGTCAATGGGTTTTTTTTTTTCTATTCCAACACGGTGTGTTAGTATGACTTTTATACTGTTTTGTGGCGTTCATTCTGCGAAGTAAGTCTGCACATAAACATCTCGTACTTAAAGGCGAAACCTGTATCATCACATTTATCTCTTCAGCACACGTCCGTGAAAGTCGTACTCAGTGTTCCTTAGGTCCACGTAGAGGGTGACCTCTTTCGCAAATCGCAGCGCTCATGTGCTTAAACAGCCTAGCAATTAGTTCAATCGGCTTCATGAGAGACACGTGGTAAAAATTTCAGGTAAAATTCAGGTCGTTAGAACTCTAACTAACCGCAGTTAATTAATCCCAGATCGCACGTCCAGCTTCAAAGCGAGCTAACATTGTAATTCATTTCTATTGAGCATACGACAGAGATGTTGGGGTTGCGTCGTGCTGCAATAAATAATTCAATCTTTAGCAGAAGCTTTCAGTGTACCTATTCTTATAATGAGAACATTTGTCGATAGATAGATAGAAAATTACCGCGTCTTTTTTTTATCAAAAACGTCAACCTGACTGTATGATGACAAAACTTTGATGAACTCACTAAGGCATTTTCCCGTAGGCTGACAAGAGGACCTGCAAAACCCAGCAAGCTAGTATCTGCTGTCTTTATGTGATACGTTACATTATGCGATAGACCCTGCGTGTTATACAGGTCGGTAGCAGGTTTCAGGCCAAATTCTATGTTGGCTGTATGAGACGGCCTATTTCTAATTTTAATGTAGCGCACTTCTGGTAGAAGACTTCACTCTGTGCCAGGTTAGATTAAGAGAAATATATCGTGAAACCATATGGACATCTGGTCCTCGGCGGTTGTACTGTACTCTGAAAACCAGTGTCTTAGGAAAAGGCTCACAGACAAAAACAGTGAGTATCTGCAGGATGGTCTGGATATATAAAAGCTGGATAAGTCTACCAGGTGCGATTGTGATGTTATCTATTTGTATCGCACTGGTAGTTGTATATGCTACATTTTTGTAAAGGGGTAGAAATAGACAATCAAGCTGGGCAGACAACACGAATAATAAGCGAAATTATCACAATAAATGGGAAAGTGTTTAAATCGGTCAGCGAGAAAAAAATCACACCAGGTATCATAAAACACAATTGAAATATCGCGCTTTGTTTTAAATAGTTCGAGCAATTTACAGTAACAGAAAGTTCATTTCTTCTCTAGCTCTAGCTCGATTATGGGTTCAAGTTGTCGAATGTTGTACGGCCGTTATGTGTCAGCGTTTCACGCTGATAACTATCAAGCTAAGAAAGCCAAAAGTGCAAGTAAATAAGATGGCCACTCAAAACAGTATTTTTACATTTTTAGTACGATAGAACTACGTAAAACATCTAGTTTGACTAAGTCAGTTTCAAGAATTCCTCGAGTCATAAGGTTAGCAGGCATAAGGTTTTGGTCAACGAATATCTGTCTTACAACATCAGGAACGCCACCTGTACTATACTATAGACTATTACTGTCTAAAGAAGAAAAATATTAAAGCGATCAAGCGGCTATGACGACACTGTGCAGATTTCAAACAGATGACATTACTTTTGACCAGGTGGTAACGTTTAATTACCTTGCGTCTTTTTGAAAGCGCGTTTAATCTCACGGACCAACTCGATGCATAATAGCCGGCTATGAAACTGCTTCAGGACACGCTCAGGGTAAAAATTCGAAACCCTAATGACCTGTGACAGAATTGACATTGACTTAACAGGTTATAACTGTACGATGAACTTGTACTTCAGTCTAAGAGCTTTGATTGTTACGTAAAAGCGCGGCCTGCTGTGAGCCCAAACCACACCGATTTATCTATGTAATCATTGCTCTATACAATCGGGCAAGCAATTACTCTGAATTGACGATTTGTGTCCTAAAGATATTTGTGTGTGAGTTAGAAATGTTGCTTACGCTACCTGCTATAAGTTGAAAGTGCATATTTTAACATGCATCGGAGTGTAATGAAGTGCCGGGTCTTAAGAGGCTTGCTAGCCCATCGATAAGAATCTTAAAACAGCCTGTTTTACGATAGGACGTCAGTGCCATTTGCTTTTGTAGTGCTTCAATTTTCCCCAAAGTTTTGTTTTAACATGCGTGTGAAAAATCTATTCTGATAAAACGTGTACTTATCTGCAAAGATTGTGAACTTCAAGGATCAGTTTTGAGCGTCAACTCACGTTAGATATTACAGCCATTGAACAGAATCGTCTGTCATTTACTACTACTGCTGTTTTAAACGTGACGTAAATGTGTTAGCTATATTTTCGCCGCTTCGGGTGAACATATCCGACTGAAGGCTTTAGAAGAGACACTTGTGCCCGCTGACTGGAGTATGGGTTAGTTCTGGGTCTGGATAGTGGAGCCAAAATGGAAAAAGCATAACGCTTCGTCCTGCAGCATCATTTCTAGCATGTATTGTTTGTTTCTAGGACAACTACATTTTATGCGGTAGTTGCATTCAATATATTCTTGAAAGCTGTTAAGGTGTACATATATGGCACGTGTACATTATATGTTCTCATAATATTTATAGATGACCCTGTAATCTTGTTCTTACGAATGTTTCTCTTTCTTTACAGGCAACGTCACAGAAGAACCCTTTCCATACCACTGATGCAGAATGATTCGTACGAGCCACATCTGGATGCAGAAACTATCAAATAATGTTAGTTCACATACAGTTATATATGTATATATATATAGTCTTTTACAGATTTTTTTTACAGAGTAGTAGCAGATATATAATAATTCATTAATTCAATAGGGTTTATAGAATTCGTCATAACAGCTCTGCCCCCTTTAATGTTACAGTTAAATACCTGCAAATCATTTTAGGCCTGCCGTTGTGGGCACATCTATTTTTCACGACAAGTTACAGCCCAGGTTATTGACGTACTCGACCTGTGTTACTGTTTCGTCGAAATAATCTAGTGTACAAAAGTATATGAGAAGATGAGAGGTTTAAGAGTCGATCAATCTGACCAAACCCTTTCTTTTTGCTTTTATAGATGTAAGACTTTACAGAAAAATGAGACTCTAAGAAAATCTGTGACAACGCAACTAATCGAAAACCTACATGGATAATCAGACAATATCTCTATAAGCGATGTCGAAACAATCCGATAATTGTTTTTATAGCAAACTATGATGAATACACAGAAAGCCATGATTGAAGATATAGAGTGTCCTGCACACAGGCAGCTGGTTTAGGGTCATTTGCCTTCCTGTATCAGAATTGTACACGTGGCTAAACTGCTTACGTACGCACTCAAAAGCTACATTTATTATCCATATGCGAAAGTGTTTCACAGGTATCTTAAGATACGACCGTAGTCATAAGTAAAAGTGTCTGTGAATGCCAGCCTATGTATATTATCTAACGAATTTGCATAACCCACTATCATTCAATAAGCGACGAAAAACTGTTTGGGCATAGACATATGGTTTGTTTCGCACCGGGAGCTAAACGTCTGGCTATGAAATGCCTAGCGGCGAAAGTGGACGTAAAACTCTAAACATAAAGGGGACCAAAGAAACAAAGGCTCAAATGATATAACGAAGTATTTTTCCACATTTTTATCACATTTTACTTCTGCTTTTCTAAAGGTCAGGGGTCTAGCAGCAATATGCGTATCTGTCCCTTTACTCAGCCTTAAGATTGTATTGCCACATTCAACGGCAGCAGTGATCTTAATTCTGTTATTAAGGGTTGTAGAGGGAACGAGCGCCGTACACCGTACAGAGATAAACTTGTTCAAGCCGTTCTGTAATTAGCTGTTAAATAGCTGAAGAGACAGTTACGAGATTCCGTGTTGTTTGCCAACTCCCCTCTCTCAGCTTCGATAAAATGTTATAATGAACACGACGACATTTACAGACGAAGTGTTATCAGTAGGAAAAAGCTGAAAAATGGGATAGCGCTTCTGTTGGTGCGTCGTAGCATTGCTACTAATTGTGATTTACACAAATGCGGCGGCGACGGCGACGGCGACGGCGACGGTGGCGGCCGCTCTCGTTCTCGCTAAGTTGGGCTTACGAAACATTTGCTCAGCCTTACACGTGCTCAAGTGCCTTCAGCCTTAATAACACGTGCGTTTTCACATCACCAGACAAGCACACTTTCTTCAGCCTCATATACATACAACTGTTGCTATAGCGCGATCAGTGAACGCACGAAGATAATGCGTAGGGATAAACGCGGCGGCTGAAGCATCTAAGCGAATTTTTGGCGACAAGGTCGACACGACCGCGACCCAAAACCAGTTCTAAATATTCCTGTAGAGTTCTGGCCATTTAGGCCGAGCAGGTTCTCGCAGTGCCAAAGCTGCTAGAAAATACTGCCTAGTAACGTACTAAAACGAAGCGTAGCATGCGACAACACATTTTCTATTTTGTTCCACGTTTTTTTAACTAGCGTTTTTAAAAGATTATCAAACGAATGTTCCATTTCTGTATTTTTCTGTGTGTTCCGACATATACCACGTATCTTGAAAGTTTGGTTTCTGACCATGATTTGGGCAGCGAACTGTGCTTGCAACGTTGACGCAATTTTCGTTTCTTTAAACGCAAATTTCAATAGAGTAAAACGAGTACGGCCTATTCGTTCAATAAATCGGTTCTGACACATCTGGCTTACTTTAGCGCCAAGTTTGAAACTCCTAGCTTGTTTAGTTCAAGCTTGAAACAACAAATGCCGAAATGAGTATTCAGAGCTGTAACACAGATTAAACATTTTGAATTTATATGGCGTAGAAGAAAGCAAATACGACAGCACAATGGGCGATACAGAATTCGACAGTGAAGCTCTCGACTGTCTCTGAAGGCCACAACGATCCAGCTTGTTCCAGGTGGCAGCGTTATCGAGTTCGTCACCGATACGATCAATCAGGTATATGTTATATTACAGTTACTATATACCTGTAATAGCTACGCAGAGAATAAACTATGCATGCTAACTTCAACACCCCGAATGTAACTTCAATTCCTTATGATTGAAAGCTGGACACGAATGGCACATGGGTAGGCTGACATCTCGTCAGTAAGTAGAAGGGAAATAATAATGATGATAACATCCGATTTGGCCACAACGAGATCAAATAATGGTTAGCGATCAGTAACAGTATCAACAAACCATTGTTCAATCATGAACATTCGTTAAACAATCAGTGAAGGGCTGGCAACCTAAGGACGGTAGAAAAAAAATAGGTAAATAAGCAACAGACGACGAAAATGCAACAGTGCGTTCCATTCCTTTGCCCTCACGCCACGAAGTGGGTCTAGAGACTAGCCTGTTTCGTCCATGTATCGAAAAGCTATCAATGAGAAGAATAAGAGGCTTTACGGGACGCCAGTCGCTATTGCAACGAATATCTTTGTAATACTTCTGATTTAATCGTCTTCAATTCTCGCTTTCTTTTTTTTTTTGGCTTCATCAGCGCCGGTGGTACGCGAACAGTTTTCTATACCTTCACCCCTCCAACTGCTAAATTCTATTCATCGAATACAACCAGCTGCTATAATTATGGCTGAGTGCTAATAATTAATGACTCCATATTTAGGCGGAAATAGTTCTGCTGGTCGCAAATATTGCTAGCCTTGCGCGTTCTGGGCGATACGTATGTTCTGTTACGTTGTTCCAAAGTGACTCTTATATGCTTGCGTTTTCGTTGACGCACAACGGCGTCATCACAAGATACGAAGACGAATAAGTTACGTTGCATTATATTCACCATTATCGCCAGCAGTAACACAAATAGCAACAACGCGACCACTGACCGTAGTGGCAGGAGAACAGTGGTCCCGTATATACGAAAATGATCTCCTATCAGGTCGCGCAACACTTTTTCATACCCCTTTTCTAACTGATTCGTTTTCTCGCGTAGACGGCCCCCAGCAGGACGCGCAAGCTGCAATGGCACATACGCACACACGTACACGTTTACATTAAAGCTTTCGAGCTTCACGTGATCGATCGATCGATCGATCGCTTAGATAGTTTGAGGCAAGTGAAACCAGCAGCAGTCGCTAGGCTGAGCAAGTGCCAATGGCTCGTCGTAAGCCATTCGTTTGTTCGTTGGTAGCGGAGCAGCCCGCTAGAGCGGCGGTGGCCCCGTCGGTGTGTCCTAATGGCCGTCAACACACGTGGCCGTTAACAACGAATAGCCGCGTAAAATATCACCGGTGACACCGTTGTGGTGCAACCGCTGAGAGAACGACCACTTCTGCTGCTGTCGTCCCTTTCAACGCTAATCTGGCCTTTTTATCTGCCGTCGCGTCAACGATGGCGCTAGTAACAATGATAAAGCTACAAGAGTAACCAAACAGTAGTGGCTGAAGTATAGTTGCTATTCTAGGTGATTATTCGTTCCTCTTCGTCGTATCCACCGACGGCGCGAACGAAAAGCAACGAAAAACAGAGAGGGTTCGTGTGTGAACGGCGTGCACTGGATTGACTAACTTATTCACTGATGATCAAACAAAGCGACGGCCAAACAGATAGACCTAGCAGCAGCGTCAGCTATCGCAATTGCAATATTGCTGCAATGTGCTTTTATGTAAAGGTGTGCGTCGACATGTGCATGTGTAACGCTTCGAGCCGCCATAAGCGTCACATTGTTCGTGTTGTTGCTAACACTTTTTCCATTGTTGCTGCTGCTGCTGTTGTTATTGTTGTCGTTAGTATTGTTAGCGGCTCGGAGAAAAAAGGTGGACAATAATGAGCGTTTAAGATAAGAGTAAACTTGGGCGGGAAAAGTATAAACAAAGTAGACTATCTTTCATTTGATTTTTTCATGATTATTTCTTTAAGCAGTGCATGTTCCTTCTATGCTTAAATAGTTCCTATAACTATCTTGCCTCCACAGATATATATATATATGGAGAGGCAAGATACGTATTGATCGGGAAGAGTTTTTTTATGACTACGATTAAGGGATAGCGTGATAAAACGTAATAGAAACGAGCAAACGTTGATGATAACTATAATGAATAATTATCGTAATTAATGGTCATGCTGATTTCAATAGTAATGATATGAAAAAAGAGTAAACAACTAGTCATGACCTGAGGCAAAAGGGAACGCTCAAGACAATATTAAACAAGCGACAATTTCTAGCTGGCTCCCTCGTCCGACGATTTAAGGTAATCGTGAGGAGGATTCGGTAATACGGAAAGCACCGAAGTCAAGCGAACAAATTGACATTGGAAAACCAAATAGAATTTGTTATGGTAATTTTCGACACGTGCCGCATTCAAGTGGATATAGTACATACAGATATAGTGTCCTTGTCATCCGGTAAATAACAAATGCGTTGAAGATGTACAAATAGCCTAGCTTGATCATAGCAACAAAGCATTTTAGATTTTTTTTTCCTATGTTCATTATATGTGATTTAATATCGAGATGCAGAGGGTAGATTGTCATATGTGCGCTCCAGGGCTGGAACTCAGTCGACGTATTTACAAAAGGGAGCCTATGTTTTGTTAGCTATTCTTGACACGTTGTGCCTAAACTAGGACAAACATTGGATAACCTATTGCCCAGCCTGAGCAAAATGTACGCCGATAGCCAGAACCTGCAAACGAAACAGCCTGGTGAGTTTTAACCTAATGCAAAGCCAGAAAGATCCACCTGGGCATGTTTTTCATATGGGAAACCTCTGGATT